GGTGAAAGGACTAGGAGAGCAGGAGGAAATGACAAAATTGAGGAGCTAATCTGAATGGCCCTTTTTCAAGGGGTGGGGAAGAAGAGGAATGGAAGGGAGGAAATGGGTAGTTGTGGGTTGAGCTGGCTGGGCCTTGTTTTCATCAATGGGGAGGAAGGAGGGGAGTGGGAGGAAATGCATAGTTGTAGGTTGTGCAGGCTGGGCCTTGTTTCTAAAGAAAAGGCCCTGAAAGGAGGGTGGGAGAGGAAGGTTGCAGTGGATGGGCTTTGTCATCAAGGGGGAAAGAGTGGAAGGGAAGGAAAGAAAAGATAGAAAATGGCTAACTGGGGGCTTCCATTGATGAACCTTGTTTTCAAAGATGAGGAGTGGAAGGAAATTGTATGTGTGTGTGTGTGGGGGGGGGGGATTGTTAGGGGGAATGTTCTTGAGGGGAAAGAACTGGGAGGAAATGACAGAAAACTGAGGGGCTAAACTGGGTGGACCTTGTTTCAAAGGGAGGGGAAGAAGAGGAATGGGAGGAAATGGGTGGTTGTGGGTCGAGATGACTGGGCCTTATTTTCATAGATGGAGGAAGAAAAGGGTGGTTGTGGGATCCTGCTCTCATGTATGGGAGAAGGGGAGTGGGAGGAAATGGACAGTTGTGGGTTGAGCTGGCTGGGCCTTGCTTTCAAAGGGAAGAGGGAAATGGATGGAGGGGTGAATGGAGGAGGAAGAAGAGAGGGAGGGGATGGATGGTGGGGCCTGTTGGCTGGGCCTTGTTTTCATGAATGGAGGAGGAAGGAGAGAAGTGAAAGGGAGGCAAGGGTTGGTTGTGGGTTGAGCAGGAAGGTGGGGTCTGTTAACTGGGCCTTGTTTCCTGGAGGAGGAAGGGAGGAAATTGACAATTGTGGGTTGTGCTGGCTGGGCCTTGTTTGTATGAATGGAGGAAAAAGGAGAGGAATGGGAAGAAATGGGACAGATGTGGCCTTGTTTTCAAAAGAGAAGATGGATCCAAGGGAGGGGGAACATGGGTTGATCTGGCTGGTCTTCCTTTTCAAAGGGAAGAGGGCGATAGTTTTGGGTTGAGGCTGGCTGGGCCTTGTTTCTAAGGAAGAAGAAGAAGAGAGGTGGGAGAAAATGGGACAGTTGTGGTCTTGTTTTTAAAGGGAAGAGGGAAAGTGTAAGGTAAAAGGAAGAGGGGCCGACCAAGGGCAAGATGGATGGATGGCATCCTTGAAGTGACTGGACTGACCTTGAAGGAGCTGGGGGTGGTGACGGCCGAGAGGGAGCTCTGGCGTGGGCTGGTCCATGAGGTCACGAAGAGTCGGAGACGACTGAACGAATGAACAGCAACAAGGGAAAGGGGTGGTTATGGGTTGCATTGGCTGGGCCTTGTTTCAGTGAATGGAGGAGGAAGAGGAGTGGGAGAGGATGGATGGTGTGGCTTGTCAGCTGGGCCTTGTTTTCATGACTGGAGGAGGAAGAGTGTTGTTTCCATGACTGGAGGAGGAAGAAGAGTGGAAGGGAGGAAATGGACAGTTATAGCCTTGTTTTCAGAGGGAAGAGGGGTGTGGTGGCAGGATTGGCTGGGCCTTGATTCCATGAATGGAGGAACAAGAGGGCTGGAAGGGAGGAAATACGACAGTTGTGGGTTGTGCTGCCTGGGGTTTTGTTTTCCAAGGGAAGAGGGAAATTGATGGTTTGGGTGGTTGTGGGTCGAATTGGCTGAGCCATGTTTAAATGAATGGAGGACGAAGGAGAGGAGGAAGGGAGGAAATGGACAGTTGTGTGTTGAGCTGGCTAGGCCTTGTTTTCATGAATGGAGGAAAAAAGAAAGGGGTGGTAGGGAGGAAAGGGGAGGTTGTGGGTTTAGCTGCCTGGGATTTGTTTCTATGGAGGAGGAAGAAGAGGATTGGAAGGGAGAAAATGGACAGTTATGGCCTTGTTTTCAAAGGGGAGAGGGGTGGTGGAATGGGTTGCACTGGTTGGGCCTTGATTCCATGGATGGAGGAGGAAGAAGAAAAGTGGAAGGGAGGAAATAGAAAGTTGTGGGATGTGCTGTCTGGGCTTTTTTCAAAGGGAAGAGGGAAATGGATGGTTCGGGTGATTGTGTTTTGAGCTGGCAGGGCCTTGTTTTCAGGAATGGAGGAGGAAGGAGAGGAGTGGAAGGGAGGAAGGGGGGGGTTGTGAGTTAAGCTGGCTGGGCCTTGTTTCTATAGAGGAGGAAGGAAATTGACAGTTGTGGCCTTGTTTTCAAAGGGAAAAGGGGTCTGTAGGGGGAGGGAGTGGGTTGCACTGGTTGGGCCATGTTTTCATAAATGGAGGAAGAAATTGGTGATTGTAGGGCCTTGTTTTCATGAATGGGAGACAAAGGGGGGTGGAAATGGATGGTTGTGGTGGTTATGGGTTGTATTGGCTGGGACTTGTTTCAGTGCATGAAGGAGGAAGAGGAGTGGGAGGGGATGGATGGTGGGGCACGTTGGCTGGGCCTTGTTTCCATGACTAGAGGAGTGGAAGGAAGAAAATGGATGGTTGTGTGTTGACGTAGGTCGGCCTTATTTCTATGGAGGAGGAAGAAGAGGAGTGGAAGGGAGGAAATGGACAGTTGTAAAGGCCTTGTTTTCAAAGGGAAGCAAGGTCCAAGGGAGGGGGAGGGTGGGTTGCATTGGTTGGGCCTTGATTCCATGAATGGAGGAAAAAGGAGAGGAGTGGAAGGGCGGAAATGGACAGTTGTGTCTTGAGCTAGCTGGGCCTTGTTTCCATGGGTAGAGAAAAATGGAGGAGTGGTAGGGAGGAAATGGACAGTTGTGGCTTTGTTTTCAAAGGGAAGATGGGTCCAAGGGACAATGGAAATTGACAGTTGTGTGATGGGCTGGCTGGGCCTTGCTTCCATTAATGGAGGAGGAAGAATAGAAGTAGAAGGGAGGAAATGGACAGTTGTGGCGTTGTTTTCGAAGGGAAGATGGGTCCAAGGGAGTAGGGAAATGGACAGTAGTGTGTTGGGCTGGCTGGGCCTTGCTTCCATGAATGGAGGAGGAAGAATAGAAGTAGAAGGGAGGAAATGGACAGTTGTGGCCTTGTTTTCAAAGGGAAGATGGGTCGAAGGGACGAGGGAAATGGACAGTTGTATGTTGAGCTGGCTGGGCCTTTTTCTCAAAGGGACGATGGATCCAAGGGTGTAGGGAAATAGACAGTTGTGTCTTGAGCTGGCTGGGCCTTGTTTCCATGAATGGAGGAGGAAGAAGAGGAGTGGTAGGGAAGACAGTTGGGGCCTTGTTTTCAAACATGGGTCCAAGGGGTGAGGGAAATTGACAGTTGTGTCTTGGGCTGGCTGGGCCTTGCTTCCATGAATGGAGGAGGAAGAAGAGGAGTGGTAGGGAAGACAGTTGGGGCCTTGTTTTCAAACATGGGTCCAAGGGGTGAGGGAAATTGACAGTTGTGTGTTGGGCTGGCTGGGCCTTGCTTCCATGAATGGAGGAGGAAGAACAGAAGTTAAAGGGAGGAAATGGACAGTTGTGGCCTTGTTTTCAAAGGGAAGATGGGTCCAAGGGTGAGGGAAATTGACAGTTGTGTGTTGCGCTGGTCGGGCCTTGTTTCCATGAATGGAGGAGGAAAAAAAGAAGAGAGGAAATGAGCAGTTGTGGCCTAGTTTTGAAAGGGAATATGGGTCCAAGGGATGAGGGAAATGGACAGTTATGTCTTGAGCTGGCTGGGCCTTATTTCCATGGGTGGATGAAAATGGAGAGGAGTGATAGGGAGGAAATGGATAGTTGTGGCCTTGTTCTCAAAGGGACGATGAAGGGAGTAGGGAAATGGACAGTTGTGTCTTGAGCTGGCTGGGCCTTGTTTCTATGAATGGAGGAGGAAGCAGAGAAGTGGAAGGGCGGAAATGGACAGTTATGTCTTGAGCTGGCTGGGCCTTGCTTCCATGAATGGAGGAGGAAGAATAGAAGTAGAAGGGAGGAAATGGACAGTTGTGGCCTTGTTTTCAAAGGGAAGATGGGTCGCAAGGGACGAGGGAAATGGACAGTTGTATGTTGAGCTGGCTGGACCTTGTTTGTTTCCATGATGGAGGAGGGAGAAGAGGAGTGGAAAGGAAGAAATGGACAGTTGTGTCTTGAGCTGGCTGAGCCTTGTTTCCATGATGGAGGAGAAAGAAGAGGAGTGGTAGGGAGGAAATGGACAGTTGTGTCTTGAGCTGCTTGCTTCCAAGAAGGGAGGAGGAAGAAGAGAAATGGAAGGGAGGAAATGGATAGTTGTGGCCTTGTTTTGAAAGGGAAGATGGGTCCAAGGGACAAGGGAAACGGGCGGCTGTTTCTTGAGCTGGCTGGGCCTTGTTTCCATGATGGAGGAGGAAGAAGAGAAGTGCAAGGAAGGAAACGGACAGTTGTGGCCTTGTTTTGAAAGGGAAGATAGGTCCAAAGGAGTAGGGAAATGGACAGTTGTGGGTTGGGCTGGCTGGGCCTTGTTTCCATGAATGGGGGAGGAAGAAGCGGAGTGGAAGGGTGGAAATGGACAGTTGTGGCCTTGTTTTGAAAGGGAAGATGGGTCCAAAGGAGTAGGGAAATGGACAGTTGTGTCTTGAGCTGGCTGGGCCTTCTTTCCATGAATGGAGGAGGAAGCAGAGAAGTGGAAGGGCAGAAATGGACAGTTGTGGCCTTGTTTTGAAAGGGAATATGGGTCCAAGGGAGTAGGGAAATGGACAGTTGTGTTTTGAACTGGCTGGCCCTTGCTTCCATGAATGGAGGAGGAAGAGAAGTGGAAGGGCGGAAATGGACAGTTGTGGCCTTGTTTTGAAAGGGAAGATGGGTCCAAAGGAGTACGGAAACAGACAGTTGTGTTTTGAATGGAGGAGGAAGCAGAAGAGTGGGAGGGAGGGACAGGGAGGTTGTGGGTTGGGCTGGTTTGGCCTTGTTATCCATGGGAAGGGGAAAGACACTGACTGGGCCTTGTTTCCATGAACGTGGGAGGAGGAGGTGTCTGGAAGGAAAGGCCTTCCAGCTGCCTGGCTGGCGACTCACCCTGCCGCCCCACGATCTCGGCCACATGCTCGGAGCTGGGCACGGGGACGCACTCGGTGGTGTTGACGCTCTTCCTCCGCAGCAGCGCCGCCGCCGCCGCCTCTCCGCCGTTGAGGGCCGGCCCGCCTCCTCCGGGAGCCGCCACTCCCCCTACTCCTGCTGCTCCCACTCCTGGCTGTGGCGGGGGAGGCCCGTAAGCCTGGGAGAGCATGGCGGCCACCACAGCGGGGGGCACCCCGTCCTCGCCGGGCGCGTAGAGTAGGCCTCCTCCTATTCCCCCTCCTCCTCCTCCGCTTGTGGAGGCCGCGGGGGCCGCCTCGAAGGGCGGCGGGAGGAGCACGGCGCGGGGCAGGAGCAGCAGCGACGCCTGCCCTCCTCCGGGCTCTCCCTCCTCCTCGGCGTTCTCTTCCAAATCGAGGTCCAGGCCTTCAGGCGGGGGCGCGGCCTCCTCCTCCTCTTCCTCCTCTTCTCCTTCTTCTTCGTCGTCGTCCTCCTCCTCGTCGCCGTCTTCTTCCTCAGGAAAGAGCGGTGGCGCGGAGGCCTCCCTCAGGCCCAAGCAGGCCAGGCGCTCCCTCAGGAAGAGCGCCTCCTGGGAGTACAGGCTCTGCGGCCTAGTCGTGGAGGAGGACGAGGAGGGCAGGAGGAGGACCATGTCTCCTGAGGGCGGCGGCGGCGGCGCTTCCTCCTCCTGAGGCGAAGGCGAGGCGCTGCCGCTCGGCATGGCCGCCCAGGGCAGCTCGGCTAGGCCCCAAGGAGGCGGCGGAGGAGGAGGCGGGGAAGGCGGGGGCTTGTCAGGCCCTCGGAGGAGGCGGCGGCGGCGGCGACATGGCGACGGCTCCCCTTTTGGTGCTGCTTCTTCTTCCTCCTCCTCCGCCTCCTCCTCGTCGCCGTCGCTGCTGCCGCCAGGGCCTTCCTCGCCGCCCTCAGCGCGCCTCCCTTTGTTCCATGGCAGCGGCGCCGCCCGCTCCCCCTCGCCCTCCTCCTGCTCCTCCTGTCC